GTAGATAATATACCAACATTTAATAACATCCAAGAAGGTCACAGTTAGTTACACACGTACATCCCGTAAGTCCGTGAGATTCCATAGGCCTACCGTAGGTAAACATAGAAAGAGCAATAATAGTAAAACTTGAGCGTCACGACATTGCGAAGTGTCTGCTCTTGTTCCTCGTATCGTACTCACTCGAGTCAATCCGAGATGGCCCGAGTGAAGTTTCATGCAAATGTTTCGTACGGAAAAAAAAATCGCGACCGGGAATTAAGTCACAACCGAAAAAGTTGTCCTCCATTAGTGGAAAAGGAAGGGCGCCTTTTGCGTCTGGATATACTTAGCAACAGAAGGGCGCCCTGTATGTTGGGCACGAAGTATAGGAAGCTTGCATGGTTAAAAAGAAGGGCGCCGCCTACGTTGGGCACGACTTCCGCCTCATTTTTACAATGCGAGAACTCTATATCTTGTATTTCTAGTATCTTTGGTTATGATCATATGATGTTGTGGTGGTGGCATTTCTTGTTTTAAACCTGTTTTGTTTCTTGGTTAAAAAGAAATTTATTGCTGTTGATTACCTGTTTGTTTTTCTGAGATAAACACCTACACTTGGCCTAGCCTAGATCCTAAGTTTTAAAGGTCGGTTTTTTTCTCGAATTGCTGTTATTTCCAACTTCAAATAGGCTTCTTTAGTTGGCCTAGCCTAGGCCTAGTCAGGAAACCAGGAAACAGCCTACCTAGCTACAGTACTACTACTACTTTAGCAATAGTGAGTGTATAAAACCTAGCCCAGCTAGGCTTCTACCTAGCTAGGCCTATCTTACTACTAGGTATCTTACTACTGGTCGTAAGACTGTTTTGGCTGCGATGTATAAACACATTGTATGTTTTCAATCAATTTATATATCTATAGGCCTACGCCTTTTTCACGAATCGGTAGACATCTTGAAGTGATGACAAACATTGCGAATCAGCGGTGCGTAACCAACAGAAATAAGATAAGCTTTTGGCCGGATTTTTTGACATCATGTTATTTAAAAAATCATAACTCTATAACGGGGCATCGTATCCAAAAAAAAATTCCAGCAAAATGTTCTTAAAAGACTAGTCTACACCACTATATGATTGAAAAATAATTGAAAAATTTTGTTGACCTCTGAAATCAAGATTGAAAAATAAAAGCCTATCTCAGTAGTGTATTAAAATAGGTATAGTATGCATTAGGCCACGTAAAATAAAACAATTGGTTAGCATCCCCGCCCGACCGTCAGAAAAGCCCCCGACCTGAAATTTTTTTTTTTTTATTTGTTTACGAAACACTCAAAAACTCTATCTCCCGAAGGCAATTTATATAGGCCTAGGCTTATTTACCATCCGTCCGAACGCCAGCTGACTGGGCTTATCCCTGCAGTTCCATTCCATCATCGTCCCGTCCATGCCTAGTCCTTGCTTCTATCTAGAAAAGGCCTAGTTTTATAGTAGTAGTATAAAAAGAGTGTATTTGTATACACGGTACAGCCGATGCAAAGCATTAAGATTTACTCGGGATTAGGTTTATATTAGCAGCAAACTAAGCTCCGATCCGATGCTTACGTCTCATGCTTTGTACAGAAAAGCCAAGTCGGCCAATCAGCGCGTTGG